CGCTTGCCATGTTCGCCACCGGCCTGTGAGCACCGCCGGGGGAGGGGGCATGGGTGCGGGGGGCAAGTCCGTCCTCCCCGGGGCCTGCAGCCCCGCCCGTCCCACGCCCCGTGCCCCAGTGCTCCGGTGTCCCACAGGTCGGACTTGCGCCGGATGGTCGCGATGCGCAGCGTGGAGCACATCCAGTTCCTGCCCTTCCTCACCACTGATGTCAAGTACGTGCACCCCCGGCGCGCCCGCTGCGGGGGCATTGGGGGCGGCAGGGCCGGTGCCCCCGCACAGGTAACGCCACCTCTTCCTCCCACAGCAACCTGAGCTGGCTGAGCTATGGGTGCCTGAAGCAGGACTGGACCCTGATTGCCGTCAACACTGTGGGCGCCACGCTGCAGACCCTCTACATCCTCGTCTACCTCTACTTCAACCCCGAGAAGGTGCTGGGCCACCCTATCCCCTGGGGTGGGGACGGGGGTGCCCGACGGGGGTGCGTGCGCCTGCCCTGACTGCCCTCTTCCTCCCCCGCACAGCGCCGCGTGCTGCTGTGGAGCCTGGCCCTGCTCGGCCTCCTGGTGCTGGGCTACTGCTACTTCAGCCTCCTGGTGCTGGACCTGGACACACGCCTGATGCGCCTGGGGCTCTTCTGCAGCACCTTCACCATCAGCATGTACCTCTCGCCTCTGGCAGACCTGGTGCGTGGGCAGTGAGGGGTGGGAGCAGGCCACGGGGCGCTGGGCCTGGCTCAGGGTGCAGCAGAGCAACCCAGGACCAAGAGGCTGCCGCACAGTGGGGTAAAGCCCAGGCCTCCCTGCGCTGGTTGCAGCCCCCGTGTTCCTACAGGCCAAGATCATCCGGACCAGGTCGACCCGGTGCCTGTCCTTCCCCCTGACCGTGGCCACTTTCCTGGCTTCCACCAGCTGGACGCTGTACGGCCTCCAGCTGCACGACCTCTACATCATGGTAAGTGCGCAGGTGCTAGGGTGGGTGCTGTTCCCTCAAACCCCAGCTGCAGGGGTCACATCCCCAGGGAGTGCCTGTGTCCTGCCACCCCTTTCCCCCTGTCGCTGCCTTGTGACCGGACTCGGGCAACGGGCATTGATTTCAATTAATGAGATGCCATGGGCCAATAAAGCCCCCAGCAACGCAGCTGACAGAGCAGCAGCCAGGTCCCTCCGGGTCGCCACATGGATCTGTGCTCTCCCACCAGGTCCCCAACGTGCCTGGGATTGTCACCAGCCTGCTGCGGTTCTGGCTGTTCTGGCAGTACCCCCCAAGTCTGGACAAGCCATACAAATCCCTGCAGGCCTGAGGCGAGGCAGGGCGAATGGCCTGGGGACAGACGGAGCCATGCTGAGCCCATGACAGGTGCTGAGCCCACCTCACCCCAACCCCGGGTGTTGAGTAATGAAGGAGAAGGGACCCACCCCCCACTGTGATTCCACCCTGGAAAAGCTGCATCTTCCACCCATTCCAGCCAAAGACCCCCCCCATTCCCCCCCACTGCACAGCCACTGCCGGGTGCCTGGGAGAGCTGCCCAGTGCCACAGTGGGCCTGGGCTCCTGAGCATGTAGGGCTGCACCAGCACCCCCTTGGTGATGGTCAGCTCCCCTCCCACTTCTACCCCCTGCTCTGGGCAGTGCTCCCAGGAGAGGTGCAGGGGGCCAGGCAGGCTTCAGAGGACTACGCTCCCCTCTGCTGGATGCTTGGGGTTGTACCTGTTTTTACACAGTTAAAAGTGCCTTTCAATAAATCAGAGCCACTTCCTGGCATGTGGAACCTGCTTCCTTGTCCCCTAGATCCACCCTCCCAGGGACACAGAGCTGCCACAACTTGGGCGCAGCAGATGTGGGGAGGACAGGACACCTGGGATGAAGTGGACAACGGGCTCAAGCCCAGTGGCTCGCAAGGGCAGGCAGCGCTGGCTGCTGTGGCAGGTTGAGCAGCACCGTGCCGCGCCGCACCACACCCTCCTGGCAGGGCTTGCTGCAAACTAATAATGCAGCCACGTTGCAATCAATTTGCCTCTCAATCGAATGAGCCCCCAGCCAGCAGAGATCAAACCAAGGTCGTGCCCAGGCTCTAATCAAACTCAATTAAGGCATTCACAGCAATGGGCACGAAGCTGGCAAGTGAGCCGGGTAGCAGACAGTTCAGATCCCGTGGTTGCACAATGTCAGCTCGATCTTAATAGAACAACCACCCTGTGTCTGCGGGGAGGCCCCGCCAGTTCCCAGACGCCCATCCACTGCCGGCCCCGTGGGGCTGCTTGGTCTGGTAAACACCCTACTTCCACACGGCGCGCGCGTGGCTTCATGCAGACACTCCCACTCCCCAGCCCAGGGAGGAGTCATGGGAACCTTGGCTGGGAGGCAGCGACATGTGCAGAGCTGTTTCTACTAGACTCGTACCTTGGTGAAGGGCGGAGAGGGATGACCCCCAGCTTGCCAGCTCTGCCAGGGTCAGTGGGCAAGGCTGAGATTGGCCTCCCTCGGGCAGCCTCAGGACAGCGGCAGCAACCCAACGGGACTCAGTGTTACCTGGACCTCAGAGGGGTCTTGGAGGTTGTGGAGCGCATGCCCGAGGCATGGCCCAGCCAGGTAGAGAAGGCAGCTTGCCCTGCAGTCATGTGGCATGTCCTGAGCACACCGTCACCACTGGTGGTTGCAGGCCCAGCTCCTCCCAAGCACACTCACCTGTTCCAAGCCTGGGAGCAGCTTAGGAGTCACCAGCAGGTTTCATAGATACAGCTGGGACCCCCTCCCCAGGGAGGCAGGTACTACTTGCTTCTCATCTACTCCCAGTGGAAACTATCTCTGCACAGCTGCTCCTTGCTGAGCTTAGCACTCCTGCCCAGGTCCACAGGCCTGGGAGTGGAGGTGAGCTGGGCTGCCTGGATACGGCAGTGAAGGCCCAAAACCCAGTGCTCAGACAACCCAGAGCTCTGAAGATGCCTCTCCCATCACAGGGGCGAGCATGGATGCCTCTCTGAACCCCCAGCACCAATACTGGGAACTGTGAGCCTTCCCTGGGCTCAGCAAGAGGCAGAGGAGCAGGGACAGCAAGCCAGGGGCAGCAGGCCCAGGTCCTTGCGAGGTAAACCCAGAAAAGAGCCTGCTCCCATGTAAGGGCAAGGGCCACAGCCCCTCAGGCAGCACTGTGGGCTGGGGAGTCTCCTCTGCCTGCTGCACATCACACCCAGCATGCATCAAGGAGCCTGCAGCCAAGAGCTGCTGTGCAGGGGGAGCCAGCATCTGGAAGGCTGCTGCAAGGGGACCCTGGGAACCCCGGAGCAAAGCCCCAGGCCTGCCACCCAGCTGGGCGCTGCCCTTAACGAAGGGCTGAGTGCGGGTGCAGCCACAGGAAGGACCTGCCTCGCTGGCATTGTTGCTCAGGAAACAGCTAATTAGTCGCCCCTGCTAATTAGCCCGATCCCTCCCTCCCTCCCGATACCAACAGCTCCTTTTGCAGAAGGATGCACATCCAGTAATTAAGAACAAGAAAGTCCTTGGGCTGGTATGTGAGAAACTTAGGGAGCCTGCCAGGGGGGCAGGCCCCAGCCTGCGTCAGGCACCGGCACCACCCACCTGGCTGGGGAGCCATGTGGGCCGTCCTGTCTGTCAGGGCAGGAGAGACCCAGGGACAGAGCCCCTGGGGCCGAGGCCACAGCTCCTCAGGGAGACAGGCCCTGTTGGTACCACCCCTCAGCAGTGGCTGGAGAGAGCAGCCAGTCAAGCCATGCCACTGCAAGGGCAAGGACAAGCTACAACTCCCTGGAGAGCTCCACCAGACCTGGCCCAGCGGCGCTGCCAGGTCCACTCTGCCTCCTCCCCACAGCTTCTCGAGCTCACAGGAAATGGGAATCCTGCCCACTTCTCTGGGCTTGCCAGGCCCACCCACGAGGCCATGAAGAGCCCATGGCACCCAGCCCCGGGCGTTACCATGCTCCACAGGTACCACTTGGCACCCGAGTGGGAAAGAATGTGCTTGTCCCAGTCCCCTAATGAGAGTCCGAGGCCCCAGCTGCTGCCCCATGGATAGAAAACCTTGTGGCTCAAGCAACCAGAGAGAGAGGAATCCAAGGCAGGGTGGGTTCTCTGCGGCCCTGGTGACACATGTGAGCAGGGGAGTTACGCTGCAGGGGAATGCCTGGGCCTCGCGTACCTCAGGCACCTGGCAAGGCCTTCCCAGCTAAGCGCCAGATGTGCAGAGTCAGCCAGGCTGGGGGATTCCTAGGAGACAGCCCAGAATCTCTCTGCCTGTTAGAAACAGCCCCAGGATTGTTGCCAGCCCAGGGCCCGACTGCTCCAGCACACCTGAGCCAGAAGCACCGTGCTCAGCAGCACCACGCCAAAGCTGCAGCCAGACACTGACTCAGAGGCAAAAGCACCAGCCAGTGAGTCACTAGGGCTGCCCTGAGGGACCCTGGGGTTTCCCCAGGCCTGGGCTGTTTCCAAAGGGAACCCGACCCTCATAGGCCTGCAGGTGCATGGAGCTCTTGGAAAATGGTGGTGCTGCCCTGGCCCCTAGGCCCCCCTTGGTGCCTGTGGGGAGCCAGGCCTTGCCTGACGGCAGCTGCAGGCACCAGCCTACACCCCAGCACCAGCCACTGCTCCCCAGAGCCACCAGCAAGGCTCAGGCTCAGTCACCAATGCTTTATTGTGCTCGTCAGGAGGTCCCAGGTGCATCATTGCGGATGGGCCCCACTCCACGCCGGGGTCAGAACTGCAGCCCGTACTGGCTCAGGTCCGCTCTAGCCTCTCGGATCTGCTGCTGGAGCTCCCTGGCCGCAGCCTCGCAGTCATTGAACGTGGCCACGCGGTAGCCCACAGTCGCCAGGGAGTAGCAGCCGAATGCCACCAGCAAGTATGCGGGGAAGGGCCACAGCACCTGGTGCAAAGGCTCGGGCAGGTGTGGGCCCAGCGGGGCCCAAGCTAGGGCAGCCCAAGCGGTGCCCAGCAGGGCCAGGCCGCACAGCCACTGCGCCAGCTTCGTCATGTCGGGTGGGGGCACCGGGCAGCTGCGAGGGACAAACGATGGGTAAGGGACCGCCTGGCTGCGCACCCCCCAGCACACGCCCCCCCGGGCCCCGCCCCCCCCCCCCCCAGTAGCCAATCTGGCCCCCCCCTGCCGGGCCCGGCCCATTCCATCCCATCCCCCAGGATCGGGCCCGTAATCCCCACCCCCTGGGTCAAGCCCATCCACCTCCTCGCCCCCGGCGCGGCGCCCACCTAGTACAGCCCTAGCAGCTCCCGCCCGTCGCAGGCCTGACGTCATGCGGGTGCGCCACCGGCGATTCCGCGCATGCTCCGCGCCCGGCCTGCCGGGAGTTGTAGTTCCAGGCCGGGAACCCACCCCCGCGGCCACGGGGCCGCAGGAAGCCGCAGCAGGAAGCACCTGGCTTCCTGCCCTGGCTGCAGCGGGGTGCGGGGCCAGGGAGCTCGTGAGGGCAAAGCAGAGCCTGCCCTTCCTTCCCAGCCGGGGCCGCGCGGACGGCAGAGCAAGCCCCGAGCAGCCCCTGGCACCGCGGGGGCAGGGTGCAGGTTGCCTGTCTGGCCCAGGCCCCGCAGGCCATTGCTGCACCGCCGAGGACACCCCGGAGCCGTGCCAGCTCGGGCTCTTGGCCTCGGCCCCGTATTGCCAGCAGCTCCCAGCCTGCATCCCATGCACCCCCGTACTGCGTCCCCCTCCCTGGCCAGGATGCAGGCGGGCTGGGAATGTGCTGGAGGAACGGGGTGGGGCCGTGCCTTTGTTCTCCTGCCAAGCTCCCAGGGCTGCCAGGCCGAGCCGGCACAGCCGTGTTGCAGGCCAGGACAGCAGCTGTGGGGAAGTGGGCCCACGGCCAGCCAGCAGTGCTGGGGGCAGGCAGCCTGGATCCAGGGGCAGGGGCGACTGGGCCAGCACCTGGCGTTAGGACGCGGCCCTGGGGCCTCCGCTGCCATGGTGCAGGCAGGACACCGGCCCCAAACAGCAGCCAAGAGTCCTCGGCCGGGCCCAACCAGCCACGTGCGCCCTGCTGGAGCCAGAGCCTGCTCCTACCTGCCTGGCCCTGCTGGGATTTTCCTCAGGGTGCAGGCCTAGACAGACACTGTCAGCACATTCTCACTCACAGGAGCTCCCCGGCAGACAGCCCTCACCGTGCCTGCTCCCCCGCTGAATCACTGTCTGCTGTCACAGCTGGGCAGACAGAGCCTGGGTCCCCCACGCGCTACCCAGGCCAGGCTCAGGTCCACCCTGGGCTCCAGGAGTGGGGAGGAAGGCAGGGTGTCCACTAGCCCAGCAGCCCTACGCTGAGCCCAGCCCTGCCCAAGTGGGACCGTTAATCCCAACAGCCCCAGGGGGCTGAGCACAGATTAGTGCCATCCCTGTCCCGGTGGTTTAGCCAAGAGCCCGGGGCCAGCGCCGAGTCAGCCAGCAGCTGCCCCCTTCAGCACGCTAAGTGTTACTGAGCTTGGCTTGAGGAACGCGGCCAGTCTCTGACGCAGCACAGCATCTGCCACAACTCGCGGTGCAGAAGCTGGTAACGCCAGGAGATGCCCTGGGGGGAGGCGGTGGGAACAGCCGCAACGCCTTGAGACTGACAGGCTATAAACATGAAAGGCAGCAGTTTGGGGAGGTGGCAGCCTGCCCTTCCTCAGGGGCACTGGGATGCCACATGCCCTGGGAACAGCCAGTGAACACTGCTCCTTGGGCAGGACCAGCTGCCTGGGTCCTTCTGCCACATGGCCTCTGTTGCCCCTCTTCCCCCATGAGGGAGCTCCACCTGGGCAAGGAGGGCTCCAGGGGCCAGGCAGTGTAAGGGCAGCATCTGCCAGGAGGTGCTGCCTGCTACTGGAGCAGCAGAAGCTGCCAGGGCCACGTTGGCGGGGGCAGAGGGAGCACAGCACTGCCCATACTTACCCTGCTGCCATGGTGATGCCCCTCTGGGCCTTGGCTGGCTCCAGTCCCCAGTGCCAGCAGTGTTTGCCTGTGCCACAGCTCCACCTCCTGGGGGCAGCCGGCACTGCTGAAGCCGAGGCAGTCCCGTTGGCAACACTGGGGCCTGTGTTTGACCAGCACAGCCTGCTGTAGCCTGGCCCATCTCCCTGGGGGCAATCCCTGCATGGGCACGAGGAGAGGCAGCCTGGGCACAACCATGCAGTGGGGAAGGGAGACGGGGGGCGTGTCCCACGCTATGGTCCAAGGAAATCCAGGGAGACGGGGCCTCAAGGAGCTGCTGGCAAGAAGGTACAAACAGGCTGCTTTATTGGTCACTGCAGAGTCCTGGGCTGGCCAGGGGGCTGCCCCCTCTGCCCCGCAGAGGGCCAGGGGCATCAGTTCCTCTTCTTGCCTTTGCCAACAGTCTTGGTGGGCATAACGACAGGGGCGGAGGACTGGTAGAGCGTGGAGGAGATCTTGTTGATGTAGTAGAGGTCAACCATGGAGAAAATGAGGCTGGGAGGGGAGAGCAGAGTGGAGTTGGCAACATGCCCCTGCCTCCAAACAGGGCATGTCGTGCTGCCCGCGGGGAAGGACACAAGCCTCCAAGGCCAAGCTGGGGCTCCTGGGCCAACACCAGGCCCAAGCCACATGCGGGTGCATCACTCCACAGCTGTGGCCGCAGGGCTCATTCTTCCTGCAGCACTGGGTGCCGGCCCCTGCCGCCGGGCTGAGCAGCCCTGGGGTCTGGCCCTGCTTGGCAATGCTGCCCTCCCCATCACCCGCTCAAAACAGCCCTGGCAGCACCTCAGGGGCAAAGCCTCCCAGAAGCAAGCACAGTCCATCAGGATGCTTCTGGAGCACTCTCAGATGCAGGGCCAGGCAACAGGGATCAGCAGGCTACTATCCAACCCCCTTCACTGGTAGTGCCCTGTGCACCCCCCGCCAAGACAGCCTGTGCACTCACCAGGTGGTCACGCAGACCCTGTGGATGAGGCCGGAGGCGAAGAGAGCAAGCAGGAGGCACACAAGGACTGCAGGGGAGAGAAGGGGAGTCATTCAGGGATGCTGGGCAGGGAGAGGTTGAGGCCTGAGGTGGTGAGGTCAGCACAGGGGGACCCGCTCCCGGAGGCAGAAAGCCACAAGAGGGGCAATGTGGGGCGCACCCCCCCACTGCAGAGCCCTCAGGCCCTGGGAGGGGCAGCCGACAGGCCTCCAAGGCAGCGGCGGGCACGTGGCGCAGCCCGCACACCCT